TACCCTGTAGAAAATATAATTTATTCATTTATTTCATTTTCTTTCATCGTATATGATATAATTTTTATAATAAATATAAAAATAACATACAGTAACAATGCTTGCACTATCATCATCAGATTCTGGGGCTTCACCCGAAACAACAACAGCTTTCAAATCCATATTGAAGAAATAAATTTAGTTTTTAATTCAAGATTTTTTAACTTTTATGTCAATATATATTTTAATAATGAATAAAAAAATTTTAAATAATTGACAAAAAAATTATAAGACTATAAGATTAAACACTTCAAAATAAAAAAAAATTTACAATTACAAATAAAATTATTAATAAAAACTTTCATATAATCATTACATTGCACGACGATTAATTTAACCTAAGTCTTTACTCATAATTATAGTATAACTTATATAAATTTAATTATTATTTGTATTCATTAATTATTATTTTATTATATTATTTTTTTGTTACATTATATAAAAATAATAAATATAATATAAAAACAATATTTATTTATTACTCTTATAGATATCTATGAACTATAACCACAATCTAATATTGTTTCAGTATATATGATGTATTTATCAATATATAGTACTTTCAATTTTAGGAAAAATATTACAAATTGAGATAATTGTATAATTTATATTTTTAATAAAATTGACAATCTGTATTTTTTTATAAGATTTTTATATGTGTATTTACATATATACATAAAAAAACTATTATTTACATGAATTATTAACTAAACAAATAATTACAAATAATTATAAAAACACATAATTACAATTATAATTAACCACGTAAAACATCTAATTCTTCCGGAGTAACATGCATTCTTAATTCCTTTTCCCGTATCATATCTTGAATTTGTGTAAGAAGTTGAGGTGCAACTTCAGCTGCATCAATATAAATACTTCTAGCCCAAGGACATAATGCAACACTTTCGTGATATACTTCTTCTCCTTTTTTCTCACATAAATTATATTCTCTAAGAACAAGCATATATAATCTCCATAATAGGGGGCAATTTTTAATTGTTGATATTCTGTAAGTTTAATATTTTTTTATTTTTTTAAACGTTATTGCGAATTTGCATAAATTATTTAAAAACTTACTTTGCAAGTGTTTGATGAAAATAGAGTAACTTATTAATGGCTGCATTCATACTAACATAATCTTTAAGTTCTTGTAACTTACGAATACGTTTTCGATTTGCTAAGCACATAGCAAATGCTTTCCATAATTGAAGTTTTATCATTCGACTATTAGTTTTCCATATAGGCAATTCACTCTGTTAAATAAATATTATAATTTTTCATATTATGATTTATAAATAATATTATAAAAAAATTTAACTTTTTTTTAGACATTATTATACTTACTTCAATACATGCAAATACTGAAAGAGCAAAAAAAATTATTTGGATATAAATTTAGCATATCATCTAATTTCATTTTTAAAAAACTTTCATTTTGAATTTGTTTACAATATAATTGTAAAAGTGCTATTTGACTTTCTTGTAATATTTCCTGTAATATACAATATATTAAATACATAGAAAAATTTTTATTATTAATTTTATTATTAACAAAAAAATAAAATTTAATACTTGTATATAATGTTGATTCTTATAATGATTTATACAATTTTTAAATATATTTATTATATTATTAATATCATGATCTTGTACGTATAATAAATATGCATAGCATATAATTGTATCACATTTATAATTTGGTAGAAAATATGTATTTTCTTCATTCTCAAAAGAATCTTCTTGTAAAAAAGTTCGTATACAATTTTCGAAATATTTTTCCACTTGTAATAATTGATTTTCATTTGTTTCTGGTATTATTTGTTTCATAAAATTTAATATTAATATTTTATGTGTTTTCTTATAAGTTTCTAAATTAAGTAAAGTTTCAATAAATGTTCGATATAAACTTAATAGTGCTGACTTCTCTTCAGGAATACAAATTAAAGAAGGACATGTATCTTGTGATTTAATAGCCATTTCTAAAATATTCACACAATTATCAAATTTTCCCATTTCTTTTTCTATTAATGCATATTCTCTATAGAAATGTAAATTATTTCTATTTTCATCTTTTTTCAAGAATTCCTTCAATATTGTTTTTAATTTTTTTCGTCTATAAAAAATATATAGAATAAATATTTATATATAAATTATTTATAAACATTTTTTATTTATGTATAAAATAATATGAAATGAATCTCACTTATTATCATATTTTAATATATCATCTTTCTGAAGAAAAATAAGTAATCTTTCAAATCTTAACCACCAAACATATATACTTGTACGTTGCAAAGAAGGTAAATTTTCAGCAATTGTAAAAAATATTTCACGTATAAAATCTAAATATGATTCTTGGGCAGGATGAAACATAAGATATTGAGGACCTGACGTTAAATGTCCTTCAAGTATGCCATTTAATAATTCTTTTCTTTGGTTATATCCGCTCATTTCACCTACCATAGGACAAGCAAATGGAAGCAACATTTCTGAAGTTTCTATACCCCAATCAAATTCCTCTAATGTTAATGTCTAAATATATATAAAATTTGAAAAAAAAACATTATTTAGTTTGTAATATAGTTATTAGAATTTATATTAAAGATTATTTGAAATTATACCTAATTAAATATACCTTTAACATATAATCTCGGGTTGGTAATAATGGTACTTTAAGTAAAAGTAATGTATAAATTGCCATTCGAAAATTTAAATTTCTTGAAAGTATTGGATGAACAAAATCTGCAACATCATCTGGTAAAATAAATCTTCGAGAATCGCCAACTAGATCTAATTCACTTTTACTGACACTAATCCAATGACAATTCTCTCTTAATGATTCTGTTCTTTGCCATAATTGATTTAGTGGTAATCTTGACATCAATATTACTTCTTCCATTCCAACTATAAATTGATAAAAATAATAAGATAATAAATAGAATATAAATAATATATTTTGGATTAATTAAATAAGATATCTTACTTAATTTTTTTTCATCTATTGTTTTTTTGAAAGATAAACTATCTTTATCTAAATTAAGATTTAGAATGAGATTTAAACGTATTGTTTCCCACATTTGTTCCCAAAGTCCAGTATGTCGTAAAAATGTTAGACACCAATACATCATTTCTATTCATAACAAATTAAAGATTATTATTTTATATAATCTATATTAGAGAAATAAAATAATTTATAATTTTTTACATACGTAATAATCTTTCATCATATACTCGAGGATTTGTCCTTGCTTTTTGTTTTAAAATACAAAAGCATTTTGAATATAAATCTAAAACTTTTGGCACTGTACACATTGCTACTGAAGCTTGAGTAGTCATAATAAATTCTTGCCATAAAGTAACATTTCCTGAATCTTTATTGACAAAGGTTTCAAGCTGTTTTGAAAATTCATCTGCAGGTAAAAGTTCCCCCATAAGAGATAACTTTAATTTTAATAAGATTGTGCATTCTAAATTTTTTTCTAGAGCTTTTTCAACAATAGCTAACTTTTTTAATGTTATTGCTCTACGAATATCTTTTGTTGTTTGATATTGTTGAAAATATCCTAATGTATCCTAGAAAAAAAATATTTGTAATGTATTCTATAAAAAAGTTTTGATAAATTAAATTTTAATATTCTTAATAAATAATAAAATTAATTTTAATGAAACTTATTTGACACATATTTTATGGAATATTATTATTATTTAAATAAATGAATTTTTTGTATAAATTATATACATTGTTAAATTTCTTACTTAAAAAAAAAACTTAAAAAAAAGTAATTAAATTATAATATATTTAAAATAATATATTTAAACTATTTTTAAATCTAATAGTTTTTGGAAAATTTCATAAAACATATTTTTGTTTTTAAATTTTTTTTTACATAGATTTTGATATATAAATATAATATATATGTATATATACATATTTTTCTAAAAGTTATATATTAAAATAATATATAATATATGATATATATAAAAAGTTAATATATTAAATATATTATATTCCTTATTATAAATGTAAATATGATATACCTGAAATTCTATATATTCAAACCATAATTGAATATCATTTGGATTATTTGTTAATTTTTCATTATATTGTTTAGTTTTCATTTTTTGTAATTCTTCTAATTTGATGTGCCATGAAGGGATCTCTTCTTCTTTAAATGAATTGATAATAGATTCTTTTTTAATAATGGTATCTTTTTTTTGTTTTTTCTATATAGTCAATATTTTTTACATAATACCTTTCATAAATATGTTTTTTTGATTGTTTATGAGAAACAAAACCAAGAGAACTCTTTTTAATATTATAATATGGTCTAATTCGAGAATAAAGTGTTTTAACAGTATTATTCCCTTATCTTTATACTTATCTTCAAAATATACATTTTTTACATCTTTCTCATATTCTGATTTTTCATATGCATTCTTTTTTTTATCCTTTTTTTTTCTTTTAATAGATGATTTTATAGATGGTTTTTTTTCCTCCAATGGAAGTTTTTCTTTTTTTACAGTAGTAGTATACAAAGTTTCTTCTTTATGCAAATAAAAAGTTTCATTTGAAGAATCTGAAGAGACATCAATAAAATTATTAGATGAAATTTGTTCTAAACAACTGGAATTGTATAACCAACTGGTTGAGTCATTTTCTGTAATTAGAAATAAATATTGTATCATAAACTATTTTATAATTGATATTGATTTATGATGGATTTCAATAACCTTTTAACAAATTTTTTGATTCATTGGATGTTGTAGATTTATTTTCTTCAGAATAAGCTGGAAATAAAGACATTTTTTATAAAATTTATATTTGCTAATAGGTTTAATTAAATAAATAACATTTTATTTCTTAATAGGTTAAACACATCACTGCTTTGAAACAATTTAACAATACTGCAAAATTTGTAAGTCTATATATATATATATATATTCAGAAAATTTATACAATGCTTATATAAAGTGTTTGATGATTGGTTGAAATGAATACGCGGCAAAAAAAATTTGAATTGTATTATAAGATTAATGTTAGTTATCGCGGTAAAAAATAGATTTTGTTAAATCCAAGAATATGAAAAATGGCTTTTATTGTTCGGCTGATAACTACTTTAGAACGTACATAAGTACAGTTTGAACAAAACGATGAAAGAGATAACATAAATACGTCGTCCATCTTGAGAAATCTTGAATTATATAATTTTTTTATTTTTTACGTAAAAATTATTCTATTAAATAGAATATTCTATTAATTAAAAATCATATTAGTTTTTATTAATTACGTTAAATGTTTCGAAAAATTAATATTACGAAATCGTTTTTCGGTGTTGTGTATTCATCTACAGAATCATCTGTTGCACCATATGTTTCACGTAGAGTAAGTTTTTCCTTGCATCGAAAATATCAATTATTTTTATATAATATTTATAAAAGCTATACAATTTATTGCGTGATGCCTATTGCAAAGAATTTATAAAAATTATATGTATTTTATTTAGATACAACAATTTAGAGATCATTTAAATAATACGCATGACAATGATATACTCACAGATTCATTTGGAAGACGTCATACATATTTACGTATTTCAATTACCGAACGTTGCAATCTTCGATGTAAGTAATATTTGCAATTTTAATTAAAATAATTTTGTGATGTGTTACATATGTTATAGGCTTATATTGTATGCCAGCAGAAGGAGTTAAGTTGACAAAGAATGATGGTATTTGAAAACNGATGAATAATCAAAATGCTGATTTA